AACCTCTATCGGCCTGTACAGTCACAGACGTCGATGTTCCAGTCAAGCAGGCAACTAGGATGCTACCCATAGTTAATCCTAATCGACATAAGCCTACATAGATTTGTATTCTACGGCTTATCAACCCTTTCCAGATTATTTAATGCTAGAAAATATTTTTAGATTGTTAGAATTTTTATTTGGATATAATAATGTTTTAGGGATTCAAGCTTTACTAATTAACCCATAGCTGGGGGAGAAGAGGTATATTGCCTCCTTTACAAGGGCATTTGAGCCAAAGTGAATATAACGAATTCAACTGGACTTGGAACTTCGATTAAGAATTCCGAGCCATTATCCATTACACCATCCGCACATCCAACATTACACCATCTTTTATTCCCAAGCGGACACGCATTTAGGTAATAACCACAGTAGATTCGATAGGATATTGCAATTTTAAAAAGGGAAAAAAATCATTTTGTTTATCATGGTTATGATATATAAAACGTCATGGCTTCTCGTGTGTTTTACATCAAAGTTTGCATAATTTAGATTTAATGTTCCCGATGTAAGTTTATATCATCCACCGACGCAACCTTAATAATAGCACTTATATTAGTCACTATTGCTATTTGTAGCATCGCCGACTGACACAGTATTAAAAAAGGCGGGAAAGAAAAATAAATACTTCCAGTAAACGCTACTGAAATCGCTAATTATAGTCAATTTTGTTTCCCACTTCTTTTATTTCTTCTATCTTTTGTCGTTTATTTTTTTCGCAATTCACAAAGAATATCTTTTCAACAACACTTTTCTTTATCTTCCATTGTTTTCATTGTTTTAACGGTGTTTTGTGTCTAAATTGCGATTCTGGTGAAAGCGATAGGAAATATGGTTGAACATAGAAAAACAATGGAAGAAACAAATGTATATTGTTAGAATTTATTTTTCTGGTTTGCTTTTCTCTTGCCTCATTTTTTTTTCAGTAATTTTCAAACTCGAGAGCCACTCGAGGTAGATGGTTACAGAACAAGAGGCATCGTTTATGCGGATAGGTGGGGAAAATAACGCTTAACTTGAACAAGTTAAGATTTTTACGATCGGGGAAATGTCATTTTGGCTACCCGTTTCACAGAGCAGTGGTCCAAGGAGAGAAGTTGCTTAAGTGCAACTTATTCTCACCAATGGAATACGGAGAGAATGTGGGAGGTTCGTTAGAATATGCATAACATGGCGAAGCCTGAAAAGTTAGAACTAAAGAATTTAGTTCGTTTGAGCACTTTTCAGTGAAGCAGTGATAGAGAAGTGAGAGATCTGAGATATCTCGTCTGTGTGAGAGTGGCTGCAATGTGAAAAAAAAGGACGTGTAAATTCTATTGGACTAGATCGAGACTTGGAAGTGAGAATTGCATAACTCCTGACGAAACATAACTGCAGTAGTCTATTTTAGGCCTGACCTAGCACTTGTAAATATAGAGGATAAAACGAAGAGTCAAGTACTTGCTGGACCGGTGCAGATAACCGACAATTTTCCTGCATCTTTTGCGATGGATCTTATTTATTAGTTCTACGTCAGGTTTGGGTTGAGTCAATAATCACTCATGGTACGGGGCCTACCTGAGGAACATCAATTCATCGTGAATAGTGGTAGTTCACGGTTCGATCGGTGATAGAATATAACTAGCTTTGGTTTTTGAGACATTAAATATAACCAGCTATCCCGTCCCCACTGAGATCAGAGAAAAGATCAGCTGCCAATCTCTAATCATCTCGATTTTTGAAGATGCACCCATAAACCGTCGTATCATCAGCATAGATATTCACAAATCCTTTATGTAAAGTAAAAAGAGGGTTTATAACCGACATGATACACCAGGAGGACGCCTGTGTTGATTGCTAGGGCCCCGGGGGACTGACCGTTCACAACTACCTTCAAAGATTATCTCGTTAGGGAGGACTTAACTATTGAGAAAACTCTTCCAGTAATTCCATAGTTAGAGAGCTTAAACAGCGATCAGTTGTGCCCCACCTTGTCAAAAGCATTTGTAATATAAAATGTGTTAGTCTATAAGATGTTTTTGTTATCTTGTGCCTCAGCGATTCTCTGAGTAATGGTAGTTAGAACATTAGCAGTGGATCGTCCCGATCGAAACATGTACTGCTTGTCGCTCAAGAAGGTGTTTTTATTTAGGCGCTCAAAGACCTTCATATTGAATATAGCCTCAAAAAGCTTGCTAATGAGATTGAGGAGACTGATGGGTGTATACTGAGTCGGGGATGAGGGTCGCAGGGGCTCTTGAAAACCGGGAATATGCTTGGCGCTTTCCACAGACGGGGGAAAGATATCTCTTCAAGAATAATTTCGATAATTCCGGGTTGATATTCTTAAGGAGTTGGATGATTTCGATTTAATGTTCCCGATGTAAGTTCACGTCGTCCACCGACGCCGCAGCATTAATAATAGCATTTATATTGCTATTTGTAACATCGCCAACTAACACAGCATTAAAAATGGCGGGAAAAAAAACAAGTACTTCCAGTAAACGCTACTGAAATCACTAGTTATAGTCAATTTTGTTTCCCGCTTTTTTATTTCTTTTATCTTTTGTCGTTTATTTTTTTCCATTTCACAAAGAATATCTTTTCAACTACATTTTTCTTTATCTTCCATTGTTTTCATTGTTTTAACGATGTTTTGCGTCTAAATTGCGATTCTGGTGTAAGTGATAGGAAATATGGTTGAACATAGAAAAACAATGGAAGGAACAAATGTATATTGTTGTAACTTTTTTCTATTTTATTTTATTCTGCTTTAGTTGATTCGTGTAGTTATGCACGGACATGTAATTTCATATTTAGGAAGCTTTGTCGTAGAATAAACATAATTATGTCGATGATACTACTGATGACAAATTCAGAAAAGAAATTGCAAGAAATAATACAAAATGAAGTAAGAGGAAGTAATGAACAAAGATAAACTATTAACTGCAAGAAGACAGAATGCGTAGTTGCAAATCAAAAGAGATTTCCCACTATGACAGTTACATATTGAAAACGTCTAAATGAGGCATTGAGTTTGGTTGCGTCAACTACACTTTAAAGGACTATAAAAAGACCATTTTGATAAATAACATTTGCCGACCACCTGGTGATTGTGTAAGAACGCAGGAAACTTTTAGTTGTGGCCGGCCAACGTTCGCCGGGAATTTATTTTAAAAATATATTTATTTTCTAATTTATTGCTTAAAGGTTATTTTTAATGGATAGCCATATTTGAGTAGATGGTCTGTTTTTATTTTTTTTTTAAATGAACAGTATATTTATTTATTTCCATCTACCGGCTAGAATATTCGAAAAAACGAGTTCGAATTCCATTAAATATATATATATATGGATCCTTTTCTTCTCCCCCATAACAGACCGGGTTTTATACCTTGTAACGACTGGTCTACCAATAAATAAATGGCAACCTATTAAAAAAACTGCCAACAAAGATTTATATTACGCCTGAATGTCCCCGACCAGAGACCTAAAGAAATTTTATATATATATATATATATATATATATATATATATATATATATATATATATATATATAATGAAATGAAATAAACAGTATTCGTTTACCTGCCTGAATGTCCGAGAAATTTCAAAAAATGTTCCGGTTTTGTTTTAATACTGTTTATTATAAACAGAGCATTTACTTAAATATTTGTATCTATAAAAAGAATGTTAAACATGAAAAATGTCTTAAAATAATTGTCGGACTTTGTCCATTTCATAATGTGTGACCTCATTTGTTTACATTTGATACGCCATGAGCAGACATGAATGTACGTGAGAGATTCATAGAAGATTGAAGTTTAAATAGAGTAAATTCGACCTTGCCAACCGAGCGCTCTTTCGTAGCCAAATCGGTAAATGCACGTCAAACTAAATGACGGTTCCGTATAGGATACAGGTTCAAATCCTGTTGGAGGACGAATATATTCTGTGAAAATTTCTCGGACGTTCAGGCCGGTAAATGTTGTTTAATACTGTTTATTATAAACAGAGCATTTACTTAAATATTTGTATCTAAAAAGAATGTTAAACATAAAAATGTCTTAATATATATTACAAAGATAAAGCCCTTCGTGAGAACAATTTTTTGTATTTCTTTAAGGCATGGACTACCAGGAATTATTATCATTATTATTATTGTTGTTGTTATTTGTAATCCGTTACAGTGAACATTGATCTACGGCCAAAGAGTTATGTCTCAGTTGATGATAGCAGCGCAGCATCTGTTAAGGCGGTACGAGCCCATATTGGAGTGACAGACTCAGTTGCAATCAATGCATGTGTTGACACTCTCAACTCATGCCGCTATGTGTTTCTCTTCCCCCCGGCGGCAACCTTTCGTTTCTCCTCTGCTCGCTTTAGTCCTCGGTTAAAATTGCGTCTCCAGCGTAAGCGATCGTTGGCGATGTCTTCATAACTCTTAGTGTACATCTCCATCATCGCCCGTATTTCCCCTTTTTTTGCAGACGTCCCTCATATCCTCTTGCCGGTGCTCAGTACAAGTACAGAAGGACCTTCGGTGTACATGCCTTCGTATATCTTCGTACAATTCTGATAGTAAGTTGCACTCTGTAAATTGCTTCTTCCCAGCGTGTAAAAGTCTTTGGTTGAACGTAGACATTCCCCAGGTCTTGACATCTTTTCCCTTAATGGCAAAGTACAGTTCATTGCTCTATAGAATGTACCAGATGCATATAAATAATTCCGAGCCAATAGCCATTACAACACCACTCGTACTTCCCAAGTGGTCACCCATCTATGTAACTGACCAGACTCGATGTTGCTTAAACTCCGTGACCGTACGCATACTGTTCTTTCAAAAAAAAAAAAAAAAAAAAAAAAAAAAAGTGAGGGCAATAAAAGAAGATAAATTAAGAAGACAGATTGATATTGAATTGGATTTTTGAAGATCAAACGAAAAAAAGTATCTCTCACACCCACGCGCTTATCCAAGCTTACAGCACCAGGTACTTCGAGGCGGTCAGTCATCTAGATACTGACCAAGCCCAACGTTGCCTGACTTCGGTGATCGGACGAGAACCGCTGTTTCAACGTGACACTGATTGCTAGTGACATGCTAAATAAGTACCTAACACATCTGGACGAACTCTCGTCTGCCCTTACGAAATCTGAACGAATAGGTCACTTCCGAACTTCCGACGGGTCGTGGTTGACACACCTGACTCAGAAGTCACGAGATCTTTCCTGATCATAAAACCATTATATATATATATATATGAAAAATTAATGGATTTTTATTTATTAATTCGACAGATTTTATTTATTTTCTATAATAAGATTTTTCAAACCGGTAGACGAAAATAAATAAATATACTGTATAAAATAAATAAACTCAAATAATCGACTCAAATATCAACTGAAAATAACGTTTAAAGTGACAATATATATATATATATATATATATATATATATATATATATATATATATATATATATATATATGATACATCTTATTAAAAGATCACTACACATGTTGCAATTTTGTTTCGACACTTCTGGTGCCTTATCAAGTAATGGTTTTGAATGAAAATGAAACGGTTTTAAGAGTCCAAAAGGCAACCAAACCCTCTCAGTAGTGGAAACTTTGTTACGTAACCTATCATGGCCAATCAGAATACAAGTAAATGGTAATTAAAAATAATATTCTAATATAAGTACAATCTGTTAAGATTCGATTTAATTAGAAATTAGTATAAAAATTAAATTTTAAGTTATCAGTTTAATTTAAAATTAAAAATTTCAAATATCAAATTCTAAAGTTAACCGAACATCATGTTTAACATTATTTTAAGATTATTTAGAAATAAACATAGGAGAAAAAATATTTTATTTTCCTTGACGTGTCAATTTATCAGTTAAATTCGACGCTGATGAAAAAGTATCTCCGATTGCTACATCATACTTATTATAAAATGCAGATTGTGTGTGTGTGCGTCTGTACGTTTATACATTGGACCGGATTTCCTACATTTTTCAACCGATTTCAACAAAGCTTCACAGGACTACGTAAAATTACATTGCGGTGGTTCTGACAGCGCCAAAAATTGGAAAAACACAATTGTTTTCGCACGAAACCAATTTGGAAACACGATTAAGTGGCATTAATGAAAGGGAGACAATTCATATCGAGTTATACTTATTAATATCGAGTTATCAAGTTATACTTATTATAAAACCCAGGTTGGTTCTTTGTGTGTGTGTTCGTTTATATATGGATCGGATTTCCAACATTTTTCAACCGATTTCAACAAAACTTCACTTTTTTTGTCAGGTAGTGTTTCTTATTGTCTTGCACACTTTTTTTCTTTATTTTTACATTCAGATTGCTTTACAAATTCCATTTACAAGACAATTGTTTATCATAAAATTCTATTCAATCGGTAGACTCATAACGATTGAAAACAATGTTTTTACTTGAGTTTGGGTTTGAGCAATTCGTAAAAAGAAACAAAAAACAAAAAAAAAAACTAATTCAGACATGTGTGTCCGTCAACCTTAAACAATAATCTTTGTCAGTTTTATTTTTCAGTCTTTATGATGGTCGATACTTGATCTATCTCTTACTGTTACATCCCCGGGCAACGCCGGGCTATACTGCTAGTATATTTGATACATGGAAGTCAGAATTTAAATAAGGAGGTAGGTACGGAATGGAATTTTCGACTAACAGGACAAACACATTCGCATCATAATACACAAAAAGTATATATAAACAAATATATGATAGAGTTTGGTAGGTCTCCATGTGTATTTAAATGTGACCTAATTGAGCAATGGCCAGATATAACGTGAGTCTTCATGTTAAGCATGTTATAGTATATCCAATATAATTATTACAGTTCTTTAGGGGACATGTGAATTCGTAATGGCTAAAAGTATAGACGAAAGGACTCGAACAATCACATTTGGACAATTTATATATATATATATATATATATATATATATATAATTCATACCGAACGCGCACGCACATATGTGTACACACATTCTTATGGACACAACTATATACATGACAATAAATATCTAATGCAATTAATAAATAGGTGCTTGCATTAATTGTAGAGGGGATAAACTGTCAGAAACAAAACACATCACACACATTTCATATATATATATATATATATATATATATATATATATATATATATATATATATATATATATTTAAAAAAACTACTTAACATAATTCCAGAAGGAGACAAGCCAAAATCTTTTTACGTGGATGCCTGCCGGTAAATCAAATTTTAGTCTGTCAAAATTTAATATCTATCAAAATTTAATAGTGGTGTAAACATTGATTACTGATTAAATGGAACATTTTTATTTTCTTATGTGTAAAATGTTGATATATATATATATATATATATATATATATATATATATATATATATTATAATATTTTTTATTATAAGAGATTATAATAAAAAAACATTTTACATAACTACACAAAAAATCATGTTTCAATACTGTGATTGTAACAATCACATGTACAATCATAGCATTGAAACATGAAAGCTTTTGTGTAGTGATGTAAAACGTTTTTTTTTTATTATAATCTCTTATAATAAAAATATTATAATAACATTTTGCTCTACTTTGTATTGCGCTCTTTTTAAAAATTAGATACTACGAACGGTGGATGTTTACTATATCTCTTCTTTCTTTAATTTATATATATATATATATATATATATATATATATATATATATATAGAGAGAGAGAGAGAGAGAGAGAGAGAGAGATACAGAGTGAGAGAGGGTGGTTGATGAACACTGCGTGTCTTTCAATGTTAAATTCCATTTTCTTATGTTCGTGTAAAAATATTACTGAAGCGCACATTTGAAGCTATTTTTATTTGTCTACTTTCGCCACACAGTGCGGATCAAATTCACACGACAATAATGGACTGTGGCATTAGACGCTTGATAGTGAAGCACTCTTAATTCTCTTTCCAATTGTATCCAACCATGTGTATTGCGGCTTTTTGGCATATACCATATAATTACAAACAATTATTCACGCTTATTTATACTGGCAGATTGCTAAGAAATATATATATATATATATATATATATATATATATATATATATGTGTGTGTGTGTGTATAGATAGATTGATAGACAGATAGAGGAAGAGATCGATAGATAAAATATTCATTCAGAGTACATTTGCGAAGGGAATGGCTATATAAAAATCAGTTTTAATATACTCAGTTTCAGAAAATAAAGATAAATCCATCATTAGTCATAGTCTGTAAAATTCAAAGAACCACTAAAGCCTTTCATACGTCTTTGTTTGAGGCAAGCCCACCCACCGAGTTCTGACGATGAAGCGATTGAATTCTCTTTTATTTTTTTTTTAAAAACATTTTTTCTTTGTTGATCTTTTTCTTTAAAATCGTCGTCAATCAATATTGGTATTTATACACACTGTCAAACATATTCACACACACACACTAAAATATCGTATAAAGTATACTTTGTAGATATACAATGTTCGTGAAATAAAAAGGTCTATAGGATATAATGATAAATACCAACCGGAGGTTGTGTAGATTATTTAACACTTTTACCTTCTACACTCTTTATTTAAGCGATTTTAAATCAACAGGTCGATGCTAAATTTTTCTTCTTTTGAAAAAAAAAATCATATAATATAATCGAATCATTATTCAGATATGAATACTTTTCCATGATTCTAGGCCTTATTTAGGCTAATTTGTCGATTACATTATAAAAACAACAAAAACAAAACAAAAAATAACTCAACTAAGAGGACATTTCAAAAACACCGCCCAGAAAAGGAGTGGTGCCTCGAGGGAAGTGAATTATAATCTCATGATTACTGGACTTCAATCTATGAGCAATATGGATGATCTTTCAATTCCAATTCCGTGGTCGTTGATCCTATTTGTAACCGGAAACCGGAGGACGAATGTTATGGAAGGCAGAAAAATTACAACTCTAACAAGCACATATATATATATATATATATATATATATATATATATATATATATATATATTATTTTTGTTAACATTATTGTGCAGTAGGAAAAAATAACTGCATGTTCATGTATGGTGTCTGGGTGATAGAATTCCTTTGTCTTTGTAGCAGAATGCAGAGAAAAGAATTCAAATTACCAGGTAGACATCAAATTGGTTCTTGATACTGATGTCAAAAGTACTTGAGCAAAAATAACAAAATATGAACTTTGGACAGTTTATCCACACAGTAATCAACACCTCAACCGAAAATTGGAAAAATAAAATTCGTTTTAATCAAACTTGTTCATATGCATATATATATATATATATATATATATATATATATATATATATATATATATATATATATATATATAGACAAATACACGGTATCGATCATGGATATTCGAACACAGGTCTCCTGGATGCCCGTGTTCGAAACTCTGTATGATCGATTTGTGTGAAAGGAGACTTCTTGACGGAAGGAAATCACAGCGTATATTCAGAAATTGCCTGAAAACATACCGCCTCACGGCCTTGTCTGTAGAAATGTGTAGATGAACGTATTTAGAAGTCGTCGATGCTTGTACTAACCAGAAGTCACAAGTTATCTTGATCGAGCCTTTTTTAATCATGAAAATATAAGTAAATTCATGTACTCTGTGACTGTTGAATAAACACAAATATACCCGAGCAAGTGTTTGCAAGAGTGATTGGCTTGTAACCCTAGCAAACGGGTGCGCTCAGAAAACGAAAGTAGCCGGACGTTATTTTATATATATATATATATGCAATATATGCAATATAATAGCATGAATCGATAAGGCATATAAAAAAAAACACATAACATTCCTAGAATTGAAACGTTAAAAGGCCAGCAGATGTTGTTTTATAAAAAATTTACTCATTAAGCCAAGAGAGCAACAATAGTCAACAGATATGAAAGGTTCACATTATTTAACTTGTGGCAGACTTTAAGTTTCACGTATATTATATTCAATAGATTTATCACATGCTGACGAGTCGTGTATACTTGAAATTTAAAACCAGTCTCATG